CTTGCTGTACATCTGTGTGTGTCTGACTTATTGTACATCCTTCTACTATTCTGGCCAGACAGCCTGTGGTGTTTGTTCTATACCTGATCCAACCCCTTTCAATACAGGTTCCATCAGGCCCTACAAGTCACATAGACCACAACCCCGCCTCCTGCTCTCCAGAGCGAGTAGATTGGTAACCCCGCCTCCTGCTCTCCAGAGCGAGTAGATTGGTAACCCCGCCTCCTGCTCTCCTCTATCTTGTCTGCTGTCATGATTCATGCAGCTATTATTTCATCCAAATGAAAAATGGAGAACAGATAAGCAGATCATGGCTTGTCTACAGTGAAAAGAAGGACTGGGTTATTTACTTTGGCCTTTTTGGAAACACAGGAAGGAGCAATCAGCTAAGTGAGCTTAGTGCTTGGAAAAAATCTTTCATTCCTTTAGAGACAGCATGAAAAGTCAGCTGAGTACAAAACATAGAGAGGAAAACAAGAAGAAAAGGGACAAGAAGAGAGGGACACAACCTAGAACAGATAATGGATGTCTATTCTATTAACATTTATCTATCTGGAGAATGGGGCTGTTTGATGTCTTCTCCATTCAGAGGGCCCCTGCCTGTCTTTGCCTTACGTAGAGATATTAGAAATATCAAAGGCTCATCTTCCCATATAAAGAGTTCTACTATGATACAGATCCAGTTATCTGTGGGTGCAACAAGTTTGGTGGCACTGCAATGATCTTTAGTGTAGCTGTTGGCAATTATATGCTTATAATAACAACCAAAAAATCCCCAAAGATGCAGGTATGCTGTATGCTCCAGATGAGATGATCAATGTGTGCAACACATTTGATTGCCCTACAGTGATCTACTCTGCAGTTATTGGCCATTATATATTTATAATAATGACATTTAAAAAAAACACATAGTTATGCACAATTTACCAAAATGAGAGCTGTAGTCTGATCACAGTGCAGTGGGGGGGGGGGGGGGGGGTGTTTAGCGGATCTATAGTTGCAGTTCACTGTCTGCCTTGCTGTGGTTGCAGTGAGATGTCAGTTTGGAAGAAGAAATGATCGGCTGAGCAGTTATTGATCCTGATGAGCCCAATATCTTTCTAATTCTACCAAAGTTTCTTACATCACTCTTGAGAGAAACTCTTTATTGTTTCGTAAAACAAATTATGGTTCCATGTCTTCGCTGAAGGTTAATTACTCTGCAGAATTTAGTTTTTCCCCCAGCAGCTCTTCATCAGTGGCTGAAGAAACACATGTCTGATATCTTTCTCTGACAATGTTAACAAAGTTTATTTTGGGAATACTGCAGTTTTTTAGAAATATTTCTTAAGAAAATACAGTTTCTATTCTGCAATAGTTCGCAAAATTAGGTTTCTGTCAGGTTTTGGTCTTGTTGACATTTTAACTTTCAAAAGGGAAATCATACGTGACTAACATGGCTTAAAATCCAACATAAAGGTGTAGTTAGAATTTCACTTTACTGCACCATACTGCTGAAGTATTCAGACTCTGAACAGTTATAATGAACCTTAAATACCCGATTACTAATGAGCCAAAGTGAATTTATCCATTGGGAGATAAATAGAAATCTATCCTGTCTTCTCCTCTCTGAATATTTCATTAAGATCTGGAACAACAAAGTCATTAAATCATTTAGGAAGTCATTGTTATGTGTAGTGCATTGCTGAAGGCAGGGGTGGATTTACCATTAGGCAAAACTAGGCAGTTGCCTAGGGCCCCGAGTTCCTGGGGGCCCCTAAAACTCCTTTTCCATGTATGGTTAATAGAGCTATTACTTATTTCTGCACATTAATTATGTTTTTGATAAAAATCCTTTCGCTAAAATGCCATCAGAACGCTGATAATATTAGGTGTGTCTCGGGGCCCCCCCTACAGTGTCCACTACATTGGTTCAGTCCATTTGCTGCGCATGGGCAGAAAGGTCCAAACAGACGACAGCAAACTATTTGAAAACAAACGGCGCGAAGAGACGATACGAGTGGAGAAGAGAAAAGAAAGGAAAGGAAAGAAAGATGAAAAGAAGTTACCCTAGCGGTGCTGAAAAGAGGAGAAAGAAGAATGAAAGTAGGAAGCTGCTTTCAAAGTTACCGAAAATGACTGACTTCGGCTTCTTCACTGCGGCAGCGGCGAGCAGCAGCAGCAGCGGCAGTAACCCGCGAATAGCTGAAATCTTATGGAGAGATATTTGTGCCATCGGTTTGAGCGTGCAGGAATCAATCCGAGCGCGCAGTGAGACAACATGTGCGCGTGGGCAAAACCGGTCTGGCGCGCGCTCAACTCTGAAAAACCCTCTCTACACAAGCTGCGTGAAGCTGACACCCCACCCACGTCAAAAAACTCTGCAAATAGACTGAATGGTTAGTGCAACGTTAGTGCAGATTTGTGCAGAAAAAAATATTGTTTGTGCTACTTTTGTTTAAGAGATATTAAAGATTATTTTTTAGGTCATCCAGTGGTCACCATCCCCCCATTAAACTCCAATTTGAACCAAAGTGGTCTCATTTTTTAGTGCTTCATTTGTGCTGATTTGTGCAGTTAAAACGGTCATTTGTGCTGTTTTAGTTTTTAAGATATAATCATTTTAATTTTTTTGGCTGATGACATCACCATCCCCCCATCAAGCTCCGATTTGATCCAAAGTGGTCTCATTTTTTAGTGCTTCGTTTGTGCTGATTTGTGCCGTTAAAACCAACATTTGTGCTGCTTGCATGTCCGATTCAAACTATATTCTCTATACTTGCAGGTGATGATCACAACCGACTACATTTATTACACATCTACAACTAATTTCACCTGCTGCTGTTTTTGTTTCAGGCCGCTTTTTATCCTGTAAATTCTTGTCAGTAATTTAGTCTGGGACTAAAGTAAATTATATCTCACTGCCAAAACTGGAAAGAAGGGAAGTCTTTTTAAAATGTTTCTACTGATAAATCAGTGTCATTATTATGAAGATTACCGAGCCTGTTTGTCCCCTTCTTATTAGATTATTTATATATTCATGCTAATTGCCAAAGATCTCTAGGGAAACGTGTTTTTATTGTTATTTTATTTTTTTTGTACTTTCCACTGTTATAAGAATGCTTATTTTCTACAGTGGCTTGGTTGCCCCATGCTGGAAAGGAAAGTAGTTATTCAACAACAGCAGTTGTGGTCCGCTGTCAGAACGCCTTGGTGGAAGAAGATGTGGCCAGATGCACCGTTTGGTCTAACCACTGTTCTCAAGAAAGCAGTTAATTTCATATATTTGTTTTATATTGCAAGTTGTTTTAGCTGTTATTGTAAAATGTGTTTTATATTGTTTTGTATTCCCTAATAAAGATTGATTGCAGCAAGATTTATTGTGCCTCATTTAAAGAACTTTGCTTTATATAGCAATGTCAACAAAGCCACCAATATATTAACCTTTCTCCACAGAAATGCAATATTGTTGTCTCACAAATGGAGAGGGGGACACACCATCCTGAGCCTGCACATGATCAAATCCTCACATTCTGCAACAGTTATATACTTATAACTTCTACAAATCTTTTACCTGTTACTTATATTCCATTATTATTATTCTAATATTGTAACTGCGATTTCTTTTAAGGTGGTTTTGATAGTCGTATTCACATTGTTGACCCTTATTTTCCGCACATTGAGCAGCAAACTGGTTTAAAAAAATAACTGAGATGCGCCAGAAGGATGAAGTTAGAAGTGCACAGCACGTAGGCAATTGAGTGTCATTTCAATTAACCAACTTCTTAATGCTTTAATAAAATGCATCAAGCTTTAATTTGTAACTTATGACATTAAATGTAGGAGTTATTAAAACAGCATTGACCGTTTGGCAAATTGGAAGTCCCCACACGACTTTACAGGGAGTGACGCCACCTAGTGAGTCAGTGAACTGTGCGTAGAAAGAATCAAATTAGATCATATATATATCAATAAAAGTGAAATCCTTCAAACGTCAACATCCGTCAAACGTGATTTTAGAGCAAGGTAAGATAATAAATAATGGGAGATGCATTGTTGAATGCCATACATACAGGGCTAGCAGCCACATGGCAGTAAATGTTAGCAACAAATAAGGTTTTAGTAACAAACGTGACACGATCAACAGCAACTACGTTATTTTTAGCTAAGTTGGCCAGGGTATCCGATATTTAATTTAATACAAAGCAGACAGATTTCTGTAAATCCAAAATTCAATTACATTTTAATTCCAGATTTTTTAAATTTATTAAAGCATACAGTTATCTATGATTAGGCACATCTGTAGACTCCACAGGGCTAAGGCACATTTTTAAAGTTGAACTAATACTTTAAATGAAAGTTAACAAGTCATAAAAATGCTATATGTGCAATAACCAAAAAACAGACTATAATTACAATTAAGCATAAAAGGCATATTGATTTAGGGAAGAACAGTAATTTAAACTGAAGTTTTTAGTTGTAGCAGAATTCTATATGTCAGAATATTTGTATTAATGCTAATCAAATTCTTTTTATCCTTCAACTAGATGCCTCGACAGCCATCAGTAGACAGGGATTCCCTTTTTGCAGTTGTCTGCAATTCAAAAGAGGCCATCTTTCTAAATGGCAAAATAGCCACTCCTGCTGCTGCTATTTGGACTGAATTAAGTCAGCAGCTGGAAAACAAGATGTCTCCAAAAGCTGTGTACACTTTTGTAAAGTTAAACAGACATAACATCTGGTCATGTTTGGAGATCAATGAGGCGGAAAGTGATCCTGAGAGCAGAGTGGACATGGGATTTGACTCTGGCTCTATTTCTTCAGGAGTAGACAGCTCCTCATGTTTTCAGATTGAAGTCCCTTTTGAGGAATGGATCAAATTTGTACCAGAGAAAGTACAATATAATGACAAATTTTCATCATCTGGCAAAAGGGAATATATGATTTTGAAACCAGGCACTTGGAGTCATGTAATTAACCATCTGATATGGGAAAAAATTAAAAGTACATGTACATTTGTGTTCCAGAGAGCAAAGGTTTATCCAACTGTCACAAACAATTACATCGATATCAAGGGCTTCTGTAAAGAGTGTCAGGGCCACGTTAAAATGACATGTGCCAGAGAACCAATAGTCAACAGCCCAATGATTCTGGAGTGTTCCATCGAAGACACTGATATCTCCCTGCACACTGGTCGTTCCAAGAGGTTCATGTCTGGAAAGCTTCGTGCACAGATTTCAAAAGAGCTGTGTGAGGGCAGGATGGAGCCGGCTGTATGGAGGTCAGCGAAGGCATCGGAATTGATGGATATTGGAGATCCTGAACCAAGTCACCTCCCAAATTTGGCGACCCTACGAAAAGCAAAGCAGGAGAGAAAAGATTTAGAATTAGGTGACAAAGATCCAATTCTGTCTTTGCAGTTGTCAAAATATAGCTCACCTCACAGTGGTAGTATAAGAGACATTGGTCTAGATAAGTTCTTCTGCCACTATTGGAGTCCAACTCAGCTCCATCTGTATAAAGCATTGTCCAAAAAATGCCCCTCAGTAGTTTGCTTTGATGCAACAGGTTCAGTTGTGAGAAGACTGGTGAGACCAAATGGTACATCTGGCCACATCTTCCTATATCAAGGGGTTCTGACAGGGGAGAATTGTTCAGTCCCGGTAGTGCAAATGCTGTCAGAGAGACACGACATTAATGCTATTGCAACATGGCTGACAGAATGGCTTCGGACAGGTGCTGCTATACCAAAAGAAGCCGTGAGTGACTTTTCTCTGGCTATTCTAGGTGCTCTGGTGAAGGCTTTCACTCCTTACCCTGATCTGAAGACATACATTAATGAGTGCTTCCGTGTGCTACTTGGGAACCGGTCTGGGAAACTTCCTCCTTGTTTCATCAGGGTGGATGTGGCACACTGCATAAAGATGATCTGCCAGTGGAGCTGCCTTAAAAACAAGTCACACCGTGTGAAAGACTTCTTTGTCAGGGCAATAGCAAAGCTGCTTCAGTCACAGTGCTTAGACCATGCAAAACAGCTAATACATGCCATCACTGTTGTGGCTCTCAGCGAAGCAGAGGGAGATGACAGTTCTGGAGTCCCTCTGGAATCAGAGAGGTGTAAAAAATACCTGAAAGCACAGATCACAGAAGACTCTTTCAACATTCCAGCTGAAGACACAGAGGAAATGCATCAAGGGGATCCTTTTGATGAGATCCAGACTGACCTAAGAGACTGGGTGTCAAACATATGTGAGGAGAGCAGGTCACTCGCTGCAGCCAATGGGGATAGGGATAACATCCATTTCCTACCTGAGATTGTTCCACACATAATAAGACTTGCAAGTTACTTACCACTTTGGACAGGAGTTATGGTCCCCCTCTTCAAAAGCACCAGCCTCACAGCAAGCTCAGCCACTGTTGAAGCAGAGTTCAAAAATATAAAACATGGACTTTTTAAACACGACAACTTGCCTATTCGAGTTGATCGCTTCATTTCCCGTCATCTTTCCTTCATAGAAGGAAATATGAGGATTTGTTCTGCAAAAGCAAAAAATGACGAGGAAACGACTGGATTAACAAAAGTAACAGATAAAACATCTGCATCCACGACTAACCACAGTGCTGAAGCCAAGAGAAGATCTGACTCTTACCCCTGAGGAATCCGACAAAACCACAGACATTCCTCCAGCAGATGAAGATGTGATGGAAAACTGGAAGGGACAAATTCTTCCCCCTAAAAAAAGAAAGCTAACTTCATATCTCACTTCCTGCACTGAATGGCTCCATGCAGACCCATCATTTGGGGGAGAAAGAGTGAAAGTGGGACAAATAAAAAATGGAAACCTGCACCTACCAATTAGAGTTGGGAAGTCAGCAATCTCTGTGCTGAACACATGTGCATTTGATGCTTTCTGTCAGTGCTTATGTTGTGGTTTCTGTGACAGCACAGGATTTCAGAATGTTGTCAGGAATGACGGTGACAACCCCATCTTGCAGCTGGTTAAAGCCATTGTTACAGAGGGTGTGACCCAAAGGATATATTCGGAGAGAGCACAGCTACTTTGTACAATGTTTGAGAAAGTCCAGTTGAGGTCTGGCGCCTACCAAATCGATGCCCAGTGCAACATCTGTACGATAATTGGAAAAACAATGAGGAATGTTTCAAGTGTTTACCTCTCAAAGCACTGCTCTTCACCGTACTGCCAGCTAAATAAAGGAATCACAAGGGAAGTCCCATTTCTTTCTCCTGAATTCTCTGTCCTGGTGGACTCTGGCATTTCTCACCTTGACATTGCAGTAGAAAACGGGCTCTCTTTACCAGAGTCTCCCTGCCTACGCCCACTGCAGGATGAATCAGAGTGTCCAGCTGAATTCAAAACAGAAGCCACTCCTTCAGGAAAAATGCTCTGTGCTGGAAGAGTTACTCACAGCTACAGCGTTGGAGAAATAGCATGGATTGATACTGACCTTGCAAACACAACTGAATTTCCTTTGTGTGAATTTCCCTCTGTTGTGGCTCTCCAAGGAAAGACACTGACCTTAAAAGGAGTGATCGCTTTCAAGGCCAGCTCAACCAAACACGGTCTCCATGTATGTGAGCTCCATGTATGTGGGAACTTTATGATGATCTGGCAAAGGTAGTGAAGACAGTGCCTGAAAATACTAAAATACAACCACATGCTTTGTTATACACAGCAGATTGAATGCTGTGAAGAAATATACTTAGGAGGTCAGTTTTGAGAAGCCCAGAAGAGTTCCCAGTTGTTAGGACCATATTGCAGTTTTAAAAAGGCGTTTTCTTTTATCAAAATGTTCAAATGTTAACATAAAGTTCGTTTTCCAAATCAGAAGTGTTTGTTCTTCTTTGAAAGTAAAAGGTTTATTACATATTCAAGGGCACTTTGTTATAGTTGATTTTAGAAGTCATACTTCATTACATTATTGTATTTTCATCTCTCTTTTTATTTATCTTTTGTATTATTTGTAAAGTGACTATGAGTGTCAAGAAAGGCGCTGCTAAATAAAATGTATTATTATTATTATTACTCCTTTTTGGTGTTTCTGCACCAAAAAATAAGCTAATTACAGTTTACATGCTAGTAGTAAACTATAACAAAATACAGCACTGTGGTTAGACTATAAAGCAAAACAGCATCTGTAAGGAACAATATCCAAAAAATTTTGTCTGTTCAAGCTAAAGGTTCAATTAGGCTGAAGGTCCTCTCCAGTTCATTACTAGCTTCATGCATGGAGTGGGAAATATTGTCCAACAATTAATATATTGGCTTAATTAAAGAATTAGAAATTACTAACAATGTAGAGCAATTTGTTTTTTATTTAATGAGCTCAGCATAAACTTTATATTAAAAACGTAGCAGTCTGCACATACAGTATTACTGGGCTGCAAATCTTAATAAAACTTTTCATTCCAAGGTTATTGTTGATAAATGAAAAAGAGCCAACATGGATGTTCTATGTAAGACACAGATACAGTTTGTTTTGAACCTGCTGGTGATGGTAAACGACACAGCTTCATAATAATGTCACTGCTTTATCAGTAGAAATACATCAAAATATGTACTGAAGAAAACTAGAAGAGTTATAAATGAGGTTCAGGTGCACTGAAGTCTGCCTGGAAGGTCGGTCAAAATACTTACAGAGTGCAGCTTTATTGGAGGGCTAAGGTATACAGGTAGTAGATGCAAGGATCTTGAAGTTGGTCTAAAGAAAAACACAAATAATATCATACTAAATATCAGTGATAATCAGTAAGCATAAAGTAAGTAATCAGGCATGAAATAACATTCACCATAAAGAAATATAATTTAGCCTGCTGACACCTAGTGGTCAATCTAGCCCAAAAAACTTAACTCAACAAGATGATAGTCAAACAGGATTATAAACTCTGTATCACTGTGCATAAAGACTGAATAACAAAACATGTAATATAAACTTAAACGTTCAGGCTAAGCCCATAAAATGAACAACATTGACTATAAACAGTTAGTTAGTACTACTAAAGCTGCAGCTACAAAACTAAAGCTGCAGCTACAAAACTAAAGCTGTAGCTACAAAACAACACAGTTAAACAGAGGTTATATAAGGAAAGTTTACATCACACAAGGCATAATAAACTTACATGTCATCAGTTACACACTTGAAACATCCACTGACATGCATAGGTGACTCAAACTAACTTAGACGACACTCCTTTGCTTTGCTGCTGACTTGTTCACTTCCGCAGCTCTCTAATAGGGGGGTGGTGACGTCACCGGCCTAAATTTTAATTTATTATATCTTAAAAAGTAAAATAGCACAAATGACCGTTTTAACTGCACAAATCAGCACAAACGAAGCACTAAAAAAGGAGACCACTTTGGATCAAATTGGAGTTTAATGGGGGGATGGTGACCACTGGATGACCTAAAAAATAATCTTTAATATCTCTTAAACAAAAGTAGCACAAACAATATTTTTTTCTGCAGAAATCTGCACTAACGTTGCACTAACCATTCAGTCTATTTGCAGAGTTTTTTGACGTGGGTGGGGTGTCAGCTTCACGCAGCTGTGCGCTCGGCTGTTTCTCCGCTCGACTCTCTGCGCTCGCAGCTTCATCAATGTATGTAAATGAAGCAAACCATCAGCCAATCACGCTCAGCTTCTTTTCATCCAATGAAAGCATTCCTTCCTTCTTCTTCTTCTTTTCTATCATGGCGGATCGCAAGCAACTTTAAGGGGCATACCGCCACCTACTGTTCATGAGTGTGTAGCAACATTGTTTTACATCTATTAAATTCTATTTTTTAATTTTGTATTCTGAAGATAACTAAATAATGCTTTCCTTAATCTATAAATATCCTTTATATTTCCTTTATTTCCCAATAATCCTTTAAGACTCCATTCTTGGCCTGTCCTTTCAACTACTCTTAATTTCTCCCTTTCAGGTTCAGATGTTTTACAGTTCATTAATATGTAAGCATTCGTTCCAAATACTACATCCTGTTAAATGAAAAATAAATAAAAACACAATCAGGAAAATCAAACAACTCTTACAGTTATTTGGTCAACAGTCCTAACCATTTGATGGACAGAAGATAGTACTATAAAATATCTGGAATTATCTCAAATAAACTTCAGTAAAACAGTTATTAGATCATTGCCTCATCCATCTCTTTTACCTGCTATTGACATGGATTTAAATTTGCTGTTTTAAAAGAAAACTAAGGAGGATATTTCAGGTTCCAGTATGGTTCAACAATATATATATGAAAAAAGGAGAGGAAGAGAGGGATAAAAGGTAAAACAATGCATGTTAATTCTCTTAAAATGTCCATTTGTATAATTGACCTGTTGTTGTGTGTTTTCTCATTTCAGACGGCCCCATGCCTGCCTGTGCCTAGACTACTAGAGAAAGGAACAAAAGAACACAGAAGAAAACCACAAGAAAAAGGACAAGAAGAGAGGACAAAGGGTAGAACAAATAATCTAAGTCTATTCTATTAACATTTCTCTATCTGTAGAATGGGTCTGTTCTATATGTGGTCTTCTCAATTCAGAGGCCTGCCTGTCTTTGCCTAGGGCCCCAAATTTCCTAAATCCGCCCCTGTTGAAAGTTATTTTGAAAACTAGCATAAACTATGTGCAAGGTCATGTAATATAGCAATGAGGATATGCGCAGCCTGAAACTCACTGCGGATCCAGACATTTGGATTGAGAAAGCTTCCTGGAAGGAAAGCCAAACGTCTTCAGATCTCTGAAACCAAGTCCAGTGGATTGTTTGTTAAACTTTTACGGAATGACTCTGACCTGGATGACTGAGAACCTTCATCAGCTTACTACAGCATGTTCTCAGTTGTTCTTAGACGCCACGGCGCCCATCAGGGTGGTGGTGCCCCTGGACCTGACTGCAGCAACGTTTGGTCAGGTACTTCAGGACAATGTATCCGGATTACCTGAGGACTTCACATTGTGCAGGGTCAGAGGGCAGCTGCAGGTGGAGCCACTGGAGGTTACCACTCCAGGGGAGAATCACAGCCTCCGCAGCCTGAACAGGTCTAACCTGTACATCAGGCCAAAGGTCAGATGTTATATACGTTTGTGAGGGGGAGTGAGACAGCATGCAATAGAGTATTTATCTGAAGTTGGGGCCTGGGGGTCAGACTTTTTGATTTTTTATAGACAGTAATGCTTTGAAATGTTTTACTTTCATTTCAGAATTCCAAGCTGCAGAAGCAGTGAGGTGTTGTCTGTTTGCGCCCTATTTTTAAATTGTAGAGGGGTCACATTTGTCACTGTGGATTATTCCACTTCAGTTGGCAGGATGCCGCCGTCCAGCAGCCGCCTCAGCTGGAAATAGTTTTATTATGGTCTAACAAAAGGTTTCAGCTGATGTCACCATGGATGAGCATTTACAGGAATACATGGGTATTCTTTAACACTATTGGCCTTGCAAACGTGAAGAGAAGAGGTATAATAAATTATAGATTCTCACAATGTGATTGGTTTGCATAACTGGTCTAGTTTGAAGACTCATAAGAAAATAAACTGAATTCTTAAGACAAATTGCTGTTTTTTAACAGATTTCCAAAATCGGCTGGCACAAATGTAATTTCCATCACATATTTGTCATTTATTCCAAAATACTCTGTAACACATCATGTTTTTTCACTGGAAGAACAATTTCATATATATATTTAACTGTTTCTGCCTTTAATGTTAAACATACATTTATGGATCAGGTAAATTAATAGTGATGTTAATATGGAAGTTAGATCCCCATGAAGGCGGCTGCACCTCAGAACTTCCCCACCGGTTCCTTTCCTGGGAGCAAGGGATTTACTACTCTTAAAGGTACACTATGCAACCAGTGTTGATTTTCCAGCGAGGCTCCCTCCAGAGGGCGAAAGTAAAAGTGCACTGTCGTAAATATGCTCAGCTGTTCTCCTGGTTTCTCCGTCAAGCCAGGCGCGGTTGTTTTGAGCTTAGCAGCAGTGACTTCATCTAAATAATCAGATCTGCAGCACCAGAATAATAAAAGCGAACATATTCTGCCGGCAGATGTATATATTTTAAGTTAATTATGCTTTAATAAACTGTTTCAGAGGAGTGATCATAGCGCTCTGATCATCAGCGCTGTGTCTCTCTCCCTGCCAGCTCCCAGATCAGCTTCTCTGATTGGTTGATGCGCGCGTCGAGCAGCAAAAATTCAATTTTTCCATCTCGAGCAGCAGCGCGTTTGCGGCGCATCACGCGCGTCAGATGCCAAAACGCGCCCGACGCGCTGCTTCAGCTGCTCAGACGCGCTGCGCCTGCTGCTCAGACGCGCTGCGCTTGCTGCTCGAAACGCGCTGCGGGACCTTTTGCTGCGCCTTGACGCGCGTCAACCATTGACTTTGCATGTAAACTCGCTGCTTCTGTCGCGCCAGCTACATCCAGTGTGAACGCAGCGTTATGAGATGCAGGCGCAGCACGTC